AACATAGAGGTGGTTGAGGAAAGTTTTCTTCCAGGTACTCCTTTTAAAAATCTGCTTGTAGGTTTCCCAAAACATCCTATTGGGCATCCTAAATATTCCTTTGTTTTTTGGATCCTAAAGGGTTGCTTTAATAGTCTAATTTCATTGCAAAAGTACCAAAAACCTCTGCAATGAAGCGGTAACTTCTGAAAACCAAAAAGTGCAGAAAGCAGAAGAGCTTTCCTCCAACAAAACATCAGGTCAAGTATTCTAACAGTTTGGAGACTGAAATAGGTGGCAGGGAAGGATCACCAGTGACCACAAGTTACAATGACTCTGAAGAAGATATGAAATTGGAGACATGACACCATCATCAGAAATGGAAGATGAAAGGCAGCTTCATCCAGCACTTTGTCAGTGGCTTGTGCTTAGGAAAGGAAAACTCCAACTTCAAACCCCCACTGAGGTGCCGCCATCATCCTCCATGCCGTGAGGGAACAGGCCGTGTAGGTGGGACTCGTTCAGCCCTGAAAGGCAGCCCATCTAGGAGAAGGAAAACTCTGACTTCAAACCTCCACTGCCTTGTGGCTATATCCCCTCATGGAAAAGGCTTCAGGAGTTAACCTCGAGGCAAAATCCAGAGCCCGAGTCCCGGAGGCAATTTGTGTCGTTCTGGCAACTCCTGCGACGTTGCTGGAACCAGTTGTATTGGCTCTTGCCTTTCCATTGGACTATTTCAGTGACGTGAAGAGGGGGGATTTGCTGCTTAGGTAAACAGCCTATCCTCCACATTATTTTACCCAGGTTTCGTACCCTGGAGAGGACACTCCAGCTTTGCGTACAGCATCAAAACACTAGACACTGTTCCAAGTCCTCCATACAGAGAATGTTACCATAGTCTCCCGAGACTGAAGAATGCCTATGAATGTGTGTACTGTTTTTGTGTTTGTATTGTTACTCGACTATTTGTAATGACTTAATGTATTTCACTGATGTTCATGCTGTGTATACGCTGGGCTCTTTTCTTGTTCCATCTTTTTTCCCCAAGAGATTTTGTGTTACCATAGTCTCCCGAGACTGAAGAATACCTATGAATGTGTGTACTCTTTTTGTGTTTGTATTGTTACTTGACTATTTTTAATGACTTAATGTATTTCATTGATGTTCATGCTGTGTATACGCTGGGCTCTTTTCTTGTTCCATCCTTTTCCCCCCAAGAGATTTTGGAAGACTGGGGTTACCAGTGATGCAGCAAGGTTGGGTGTGAACTCTGCAGCATTGTGTCAACACAAAGTTTTCCCAGGTGCTTCTAAGTCAGAGCTCTGGCCTTTTATCTTCCAGGTTTGGCCTGGGCCCACTGCCTTCCCTGACTTCACCAATCCAGAGACACAGCGGTGGTGGCAAGACATGGTCAAGGATTTCCACGACCAAGTGCCTTTTGATGGAATGTGGATTGTGAGTTTCTTCTGCTCGTTCTCTCATGTGGCTCTCAGGAGCCACTTTACGATCGGGAGAAAGATCCATACACAGAGTTCTCCCAAATCCCTTGTTTTCAATAAAATGCATACTTAGAACCAGGTCCTCTTTTTCCTTTCTCTTCCTAGGACATGAACGAGCCATCAAATTTTGTGGAAGGTTCCCTGGAAGACTGTCCTCCCAACAAGCTTGAAAATCCCCCTTACGTGCCAGGTTAAAAAAGAAAAAGAGGTTTAAAAAGTTGCTAGCCTAGATGGGGTGTTGCTAGTAAGCAGAGTGTGGGACTGGAGATTCAGAAAAGGCCTGGCAGCTGTACCTGTGTCAGAGAGATGCTTTGTCCAGGACAGGGCTCAGGGGATTCGATTAAAGCTATTAAACTTGGTAGGGCAGGAGTTGAAAGAGCCAACAAGAAAATAAGTCACCTTAGGGAATTTTCTGCCTGGGCCATTTACCTATTCACGAAAACTAAAGCAATTTAATAAGTTAATGTTTTGATCAGTGCACTGATCATTATAGGATTAGCTGTCTGATGAAGCCATGATTCTCCCACCCCCTCTTTCTACATGACACATTCATCAGCTTCTCAGTCTCCAGTCTGAAGCAGGAGGGTCAAAGATTCCTTTATCTGCAGAATTCCTAGACCCACAAAGCAACACCTTCAGTTTCACATGTGCAGCACGGCAGCCAAATTCATGGAAATGTTCCGTGAACAGCTTGGAAAAGGGACCTTTTGCATTTCAATAGACTCCCCCAGCAAACGTGGCTGCTGTGACTGCTCTTATAGGGCACTCGAACTGGGCAAATATGCAGCGCTGAAGATCAAGATCTAAATAGCAAAAGGTGCTGCATTTCTTGCTAAGCTTATGATAGGAATTATTCTTCTAGTGCAGATAAATAAGAATCCAAGATACTGCCTTTTTATTCTTTACTACAGATAATAGATAGATGGGGGAAATATTTTGATTTCTTCATCTGCATTCAATTAAATCTGAAATGGATTTGCCATTTATAGTGTATGATCCTTGAGAAGAACGTGGAAGAAAGGCAGTGGTCTTACTTCCATGGTCCTTGAAGAGTGGGAATGCAATGGATTAGGGTTAGATGGGTTGCTCCATTGCTAATGTGTGGTGCGGTCCTCTGTATATCTATTCAGATAGTGCAATTTGCTCCCGAATCCTATGCACATTTAGTTTTGAGTAGACATACAAGAGCTTGGGTGTTAAACTCCCCCTAGTTATAAGAGCAGAAATGTGCAAATCGCTTAAGAATTAATTGCTACTATATTTAGCTAAAGGTGCAGAGAAATGGGGCATGCTTTTCAGATTTTTGTACGGAATTCCTGGACAGTGGAAAAGTTGTACTGTTTTTAGCTGTGCACTGGTAGTTTATTTTCTTGATTTTATCCTGGTCTTGTTTTAATTGGGGTTCTAGCTGCATGGCTTGTGACGTGTGTAAATTTGACAGTTAAGATTGTTAAATTATTGCAAGAAAACACAACTGATGAGCTGAGTAAATATGATTTCTCTGAAGAAAGAAAGCCTTGATAACTTGTTGGACACTGGAGTACAGGCTGTTTCAAATCTCCACTGGACTGGAGATTTGAAACAACTTGCAGTCTTTTCACCATCCAACTGCAATGATTGAATTTGGATTTTGGATTTGTTTATTTTTTAATAATTCAGCTGTTTAGGGCTCCAAGCATTCAGGTGACAAAGCACTGAAAGAGCAACAAGGTCAAGTCTTATTGGGTGTTCTTGACATAGTCCTAAGGATGAACTTGGAGGCATAACCATATACAGCATTCGGACTCCATGGTATCATCCCTGTAGCAAGAGATGCCTGCTTCTTGAAAGGCTGAAAATAGGCATGTTTGAAAGGTGTATCCCTGTAGCAAGAGATGCCTGCTTCTTGGAAGGTTGAAAATAGGCATGTGTTTGAAAGGTGTTGCTGGGTTTTCTCCCCCTCACAATGGCTGCTAGGAATTACTAATCTCAAGAAAGCTGAGTTCAACCTTTCCCTTGAGACCCTGACCCATATAATGGCATCCTTGCTTATACATTTTCCTGCCTTTTCCACTTACAGGTGTACTAGGTGGATCCTTGAAGTCACGAACTCTTTGTGCTTCCAGTAAGCAATATCTATCTTCACACTACAACCTCCACAATCTATATGGGCTAACAGAAGCCATCGCATCACATGAGTGAGTATAATCAGAAGCGCTGTAGTCTGAGTTCTTAGGGATCCTAGCTCAAAAACTCCCTAGGCTGGAAGAACAATGTTGCAGACTGCTTCACTGCAGTCAAGCTCCGCCTCCAGACCTACTGTATGTCTTGATTGGGTACCTGCATTGGTAAGGCTTTTTCAAAGGTGAAACACTGCTAAATCGGTAAGAAGTCAACATCTGGCTAAGATTGTTTACTACAGCAAATCATGTTCTGCGAGTAGTTTTTGGACCCAAGTTGTTCATCTGTTGTATACAAACACAGACAGTGCAGGAGGGAGCTGGAATGATCCAGGTTCCAGTTCTGCAGGTGTAGATTTCCAACCTCTGTACTGGCCTTCTTTTCCCTTCTTTTCTCAGTGCTTTGGTGAAAGTTCGAGGAAAGCGCCCATTTGTGATCTCGCGCTCCACCTTTGCCAGCCACGGCCGCTATGCTGGCCACTGGACTGGAGATGTCTTGAGCAACTGGGAACATTTATACTACACCATACCAGGTACAGCTGTTCGTAGTACGAACCCTGCAGCCCTCCTCCAGATCCTGTTTCAATCTGTGCCTCTTTCAACCTATTCCAAATTTCCATAAGAGAAAAAGGAGAACTCCTAGCCTGAGAGATAGAGCTCTCCTTTGGGGCCAGTTCTGTGTTGTCACCAACATTATCTCACACAGACAGTTCCAGGCCAGACTGTCCCTCCCTATGCCCTGCACTAACCCTGCATAAAAGGGATTTTCTTTATCCATTGCATGCATCTTCCTTTCTTTACCCCAGCGGTGCTGCTGTTTAACTTCTATGGTGTGCCACTGGTTGGTGCTGATGTCTGCGGTTTTGTGGGCAACACATCAGAAGAGCTCTGTGTGCGTTGGACTCAACTGGGTGCCTTCTACCCCTTTATGCGAAACCACAATGACCATAAGAACATGGTAAGCACGGTGATGGAGCAGCGATGGACAGGCGGGCAGGCAGGCAGGCAGGCAGAAGGAGAAGACTGTTACAATATGCTATAGAGCAGTGGTCCCCAACCTTGGGCCTCCAGATGTTTTTGGACTTTAACTCCCAGAAATCTTGGCCAGCACAGTTGATGGTGAAGGCTTCTGGGAGTTTTAGTTCAATAACATCTGGAGGCCCAAGGTTGGGGACCACTGGTCTATGGGATTCATCTACAATTTCTGCGACTTTTGAAAGAGTCTTTCCGTTTCTTGCCATTGCAAACAACAGATAAAGACTCAGTTGTTTGCTTTGGATAGGAATGGGGAATGTGTAGCCCTCCAGATATTGCGAGACTGCAACTCCTATTTAGGGAGGTCGTACCATGTCAGCTAGGACTGATGAAAGTTGAAATCCGGCAACATTTGGAGGGCCACGTCTTTCTCAGCTTTTGTTTCCTCTCACCCTTCTAGCTTTCCCTCTCTAATGCTGATAAAGAATCAAAAGTTAGGGTGGTGTCCTAGCTGTATTAAAAGTACCCTGGGATCCACCTATATCAACAGGCAGAGAGTACTGCAAGGACCTCATGGCAACTACCTGCTCATTGCTACCTAATACAGTAACAAAGAAAGCCATTCAGTGCAGAACTCAGGAATACAACCAGGACAACAGAAAACTAGACAAGGATTCTCTGTATTCTCGAAGGCTTTCACGGCTGGGATCTGATGGTTGTTGTGGGTTTTTCGGGCTCTTTGGCCGTGTTCTGAAGGTTGTTCTTCCTGACGTTTCGCCAGTCTTTGTGGCTGGCATCACCAGAGGACTGGAGTAAGAACTCTGTCCATGCTCTGTTGCTGCTTGTTGGATAGTTAAGTATTTATAGCTGTGGGAACAGCTTTTGTCCTTTTCAGGAGATAGGGTGATCAGCGTGTTTTTGTTGTGGATGTATTGTGATAAATAGGAGAGATTATCTGTCACTGTGGTTGATGGGTGTCTTTAGCTGGTCTGTTTTAGTGCAATGATCCCTGGTCCTTGCGGCTGGGTAGAGTTCGTTGACCTTTTGCTGGCTGTATTTTCCAATGCTGGAAGCCAGGCCTTGCTAAGTTTCAGACTTCCCTCTTTTTGTTGAAGCTGTGCTGATGTTTATGGATTTCAATGGCTTCCCTGGGCAGTTCAACATAATGATTGCTGGTGTTGGCCAGTACTTCAGTATTTTGAAACAGAAAACAAACTGGACATGAAATGGAAAATTTCATGTCCAGCTATAAATACTCAACTATCCAACAAACAGCAACAGAGCATGGGCAGAGTTCCTACTCCTGTCCTCTGAAGATGCCAGCCACAGAGACTGGCGAAATGTGAGGAAGAACAACCTCCAGAACATGGCCAAAGAGCCCGAAAAACCCACAACAACCAACAAGGAAGTCTTCTGTTGGTCACAGAGGTCACCTTAGTACTCTTTGTTGTGCTCCGGGTAAGAAAATGAAGACCTATACGGTATATCATCCAGTTCCTTGCTTTTTTGAAGTGAACTGCAGAGCCTACATGTCTTTGTTTCGTTGCATTTTATGGTCAGTTGCCCAAATCATAGTTAACTGGACCCCACAAACTGAGTCCGTGTACAATGCCGTCTCGAGTCTTTTATGTGCATACTCCCTTATAAAAGTATTCGGAACGTCAGGCTTATTCTCCAGTAAATGAATTTAGAATTGTAGGCATCATCATGGTTTGATAGCATATAGTGTCTTTTCAGTTTTTCATGTCCCAAAAGTAGTTACATGGATTTATTTTCACATAATGTGAATTTCATTTATTTTCATTCTGATTGCCTTGGTGGTTCAGTTGGATTTCACAATGGACTTTGAGATACTTTCAACACTTGGGAATGTTACTTTTTACAACTCAGAGAATCTCCCCATCCAGCCAGGAAAGTAATGTCTGTGATCTCTGGATGCTATGCAACTGGGTGGGAAAGTAACTCCTGCCTGGGGGGTTATCTGTCTCCCTCTGTTTCTTATGGTGGTCTTATTTCGTGTGGCTAGTTCTTGGCCCTGCACAAGGATAAGAACTGACACTATGAAGGCTGGGGTAGCATCACAAGTTGTTGCCTAAACAACTTCCCAGGCTCATGTGTTTTGCTTTGGGTAGGAATGGGGAATGTGTGCTGTTGACTATGGGATTAGGCCCTATGAGTCATCTGTTTCTCCCAATACTAGTAAAGTCCTTTCTTTGAGAGTGTAAGTGTCGCATAGATAGAGGAAACATATTGGTGAAATTACAAGTCTCCAGTCAGGTGCATATGTGAGTGAGAGAGGGAAAAGGATGCTCTGGAATGCAGCCTTGGCAGATCTAGGCGATGCCATTTCTGCTGTGACACAGTGCATGCCATTTGCTTTTTTCTTTCTGCTCTGTAGCCCCAGGAGCCCTACGTCTTCAGCCCAAAGGCCCAGCAGGCCATGAGAAGCGCCCTCTTCCTGCGCTACTTACTGCTGCCTTACCTCTACACCCTCTTCCACAAAGCTCACTCTGCAGGCGAGACGGTTGCCCGGCCCCTTTATCTAGAGTGAGTCACTGGACAGCTGTGCTGGCAGTGGAGGGATTGGTGTGGTGGGTCTCCTCTGGCGTGGGATTCGTGACTTGGGAGTGAGAACCTGTTTTGGTTCTCCCAGAGTCTCCCAGCCATTGTGGCTGCAATGCTGGAGCCACCCTCTTCCACAAAGCTCACTCTGCAGGCGAGACGGTTGCCCGGCCCCTTTATCTAGAGTGAGTCACTGGACAGCTGTGCTGGCAGTGGAGGGATTGGTGTGGTGGGTCTCCTCTGGCGTGGGATTCGTGACTTGGGAGTGAGAACCTGTTTTGGTTCTCCCAGAGTATCCCAGCCATTGTGACTGCAATGCTGGACCATTATGGGAGTTGGAGTCCAAAAAAGTGACCTTTACCAACTCTGCTACAGAGGAAGAGTTGGATACTTAGGTGCCAAAGAGCAGGACAAATCCTGAATTTTCTATGGTTGAGGAGCAGCACACCCTCGGTTCTGGAGCTCTGACTCTCTTTTGTAAAAGCACTTGAGCAAAATCCTTCCCAATGTCTGCCAGAAGAAGAGGCTGGGGTGATGGGGAAAGAATGCAAACACAGGCTGGGAAATGTTACTTTTTGATCACTGTATGTTCTTCAACTCTCCGCAGTGGTTAGAGCAGGGAGAGGAACAACTTTACGGTGAAAAAGGATGGGGGTTGTTGGTTCATTTTTTTTGGCTTGCTTGTTGTCTTGGTGGGTTGGTTGATTGGTTTGACTGCATTCTGTGCAGGTTCCCAGAAGATCCCAATACGTGGAAGGTGGACCGGCAGTTCATGTGGGGATCTGGGCTTCTCATCACTCCTGTGTTAGAAGCAGGGAAGACAGAAGTCAGTGGTTACTTCCCTCCAGGGACGTGGTACAACCCTCTGACTGTGAGTGTTGCTTCTTGGGCTGAGGGGCTGGGCATCTGGGGTCCCTCAGTGGACGTGAAGTGCTGTGGGCAGAGATAGTTGCTTCCTGCCCCCTCCATGCGCACGTGTGGGCACACACAGACACACACACACCAGGTTCTTTCAGCTCCAGATACAAGTTCTTCCACAGAGTCAGAATTTCTGTATGTATCTTACTTATGCCCATTGCTTCACATCTGATGATGTTCACGCTGTTGAGCCTGCATGAGTGGCTGGCACCCAACGGACTTGGTTGGGTCCTTTGCCGTTCTCCTCTGCCTGCCATTCTCTTTCTCCAGGATGCCGTGTAGCTGACATGAGGCTTGGGTGCCTTCAGGGTGGGAGAAATGGTCCTAGCAGAGTGAGGTGAGGAGTCACCTCGCCCTGTTTGCCAAGAAGCAAGCCCTGGTGGGAGACAGAGAAATGATTTCAACCCTGAGTTATACATCATTTTAAAGTAGCAGTGAGTTGAACCTGTAGATGAACGGGAGTCCCTGAAGAAATCTAGAAATGACCCTGATGGTACAGGACTTTCCAATAAAGTGGGCTCACAGGGGGATGGAAGAAAAACAGCAGCCTTTGCTGACCTCTGCTAAAGCTGGTTTTGGTCGCCGTGAGCTGAAATGCAGAAGTGTTTGCCCATTGCTGAACCACTGTAAAAAGGATGGAGCATTCAAATGACAGACATGTGCAAAGAAAAATCAACTGTGAATGCCTGCATTTACACTGGGGTGGGAAACCACTAGAGGTGTAAGGACTGCATGCATCCATTCCTGAATCTTGGAGAGCTGCACCTGTTCTAACAGCCTCCATCCAAAAATAGGGGGAGTGACTGCAAAGTCTAATTGCATCACAGCGGGAGATGTCTACTGACCTAGGGTTGCTTAGGGGTTCCAGAAACATGACAAAATTGACCCCATGCCCCATAGAGGGCCCAAGGGGGCTTCCTGAGCCATACATTTAGGGCATGCTAGGGTGCACAAAAACGGTGAAGGATTTATTAGATCACCTTTGGAGCCATACTCAACCTGTAGGTTGGATGTTGCCCAAACCCCAATCTAAATATTTATGTGAGCCCCCCAATTACGTGTCACCCAGTGGACATCAAAATCTTAACTGTGTATCTCTGGCTCTTTAGGGATCCACCATACACAGCAAGGGGCAATGGGTTCTCCTACCAGCTTCACTTGACACCATCAACGCCCATGTACGGGCAGGCTGCATCTTACCCTTGCAGGTGGGTCACCTTCACCCGTCCACCACCCCATCCCTCACCAGGGTGATCCCGTATCCTTGAACCTGCCTCTTCTGAGAGAATTGGTTGTTCTTGCTGTTTGCAGCAGCTGAGGGGCACATCAGGGAAGACTCCTCAGTTAGAGAATGAGGTTCAGCACTGGGATGTACCTTCTTTCCCTGCCTCTCTTCCCAGGAACCTGCTTTCACAACCACAGAATCCCGCAAAAATGGAATGATTCTGGTGGTGGCTCTGACAGAGGATGGGGTGGCCAGAGGTGACCTATTCTGGGATGACGGTGAAGGCCTGCTGACCTTTGAAAAGGGTGATTACACACAGATCGCTTTTCTGGCAGGAAATGTAAGTTTCTGTGGGAAACAGATTTCATCCCAAAAGTAGAGCAGAATTATTTAAGAGTAAGCACACAGTGGTTGCCTAGATAGCTCAGTGAGCTAGGTATCTGGCTGCGGAACCAGAGGTTGTGGGTTCAGTTCCCTGCTGTGCCTCTTGAAAAAGCCAGCCCGTGATGCCTTGGGCAAGCTGCACAGTCCCAGGGACACCCTCAGAAGAAGGGAAGGGTCAACTACATTTGAATACTCTGCACCTTGAAAACCTTGGGAAGGGTTGCCATGAGTCGGAATTGACTTGTTATGGCACACAATTAGCATTATTATTAGGCACACACTTGCTCTTTGATCTGTTGGCATCTGCCTTAAGCCTTTGGGGCAGGCTAGAGCCTCAGGCCAGACATGACCAGCAACATGAAAGGTAGGGGTGCTGCTTTCTCCCTTAAGCACTGCTGTGTAGTCTCACTGATGTTGTTGAATTGGAAAAGCACTTCCTGACAGATGGCTTCTAGTATTAGCACTCAAGAGATGTTATGCAGCTTCATTTCCTTCACTTTTCTAATTTGGTCCCAGTTTTGTCTGGTCTGGTCTGGTCTGGTCTGTTTTGGTGATGTGATGAATGAAACAGTAGGAGAATGTAGGAGGGTTCCAAATATTTTATTATTTATTACATGTGTTTCTGTCCCAATCTTTCTCCAGTGAACTCAGGGGCAGTGTATTTTGGCTCTCTTCCTGCCCACTTTATCCTCACAACAACCTGGTAGGGTAGGTGAGGATGGGAGAAAGTGATTAGCCCAAGATTGCTCATGGCTCAGTGGAGACCTGAACAAGAATCTCTCAAGTCCCAATCCTGTACACTAACTGCTAGTCCATGGTGGCTGAAATCCTGCGTTCCAAATCACAACTACAGTAGACCCATTGAATCAATGGGGATTTGGTGAGTCAGCTTCTCCATAATTTCCATTGATTCAATGGGCCCACTTCAGTTGCAAACATGCAACAATAAGCAACAGGCTTTCAGCCCCTTGCTCTTAAGTAAACAACAGGGATCTGTTGTCCCCTGTAACATTCTGTGAACAAGGCTAGGTGCCTCTTTGGTAACAGGCTCATCTGGAAGCACAATACGTGCAGGAAAGACATACAGTGTCTTTCTCTGTGTGTCTCTGCCAAAGGCAATTGCTTCTAAAAGTAGCATTAAGTATCAGCCATCAAATAATAGCAGTATCACCCAGCTGAGAATGGGAGAGGCCAGAGAATAACATACCGTAAGTCCTTACATGGATCCTGAGGCTGTAATAGCTTTGCGGAATGTGTGAACTGGTTGCCTGCCAGGCATTCCAGCTCATTTTCAGAAAGGCACCCCCTGTTCTACCTGCCCTTCACTTCTGCTGTTGAATTGTAACTAAAACAAGCATGCATGGAAAGGACAGCAAAAACAGGATTGGTGGCACGTCCTGTTCTTAAGTGCAGTGGTTGAATGAGAGGACTGCCAGCTGAACCAAGTTTGCCTCTCTCTCTCCCCCAGGGCTAGGCTGGTTGATTTATGCCACTGGCCCCCTGGCAGTTTGCTTTCTTTTACTGAGAGGAGAAAGCATGCATTGTTGATTTGGGGTTTTTTGGTACAACAGAGAAGCAAGCCAGGCTGGCTGCCACTGTAGGACATGTACATGCATTGATACGTAGCTTGCAGTGTTGCAGTCCCCATCATCCCAAACATGGCCAGTGGGAACTGGTAAAAACTGTAGCCCAAGATTTCTCGAGGGCATCAGGTCGGGGAAGGTTGCCTTATATTTTCCCAAGTGTTGTTTCTTAGCCAGACAGCTCTTCTCAAAGATCAGGCAGTGGGATTCCACTGGCAAGGCAATGGGATGGTCAGGGTGTTGACATGGAATAATACATGTTGCCCTACACTACAGCAACTCCCACAAGTGCCAGCCATTTCCAAGAAATTTCCAAATGGCCAATCTGTGTCTTCGATTATGATGCTGGTGAAGGCGAGGCGACATAAAGGCATGTTGTGACTGGCCATAAATAACTACGATAGCACTGGCAGGAGATCTGAATACATACTTCATACTGTCATTATCTCATTCTCCTTAGGATAATGTAGTCCTTTGTCTGGTTCTCTGATGGCACAGGTCCTAGTTCTGATCTGGTAGCCGATAGCTGGGACGTGTTATTTCCAGATTCCATGGATAAGGAAAGCCGGCAAAGTGATTCTATGCCCTCCACCCTGGATTTCATTTGATTTGATTTGATTTATATACTGCCCCGTCAATGCAGAACTACTCTGGGCGATTTACAAATTAACGCTTTAAAATCCCACAGACCCCCCACATAACAATACATGCAACAACATGGCAGTTTTTTAAAAGTCATACAAAAAAAGAAAAGAGAGAACAAGAAAATAATAAAATAAAACAGCCAATCTGTGTCTTCGATTATGATGCTGGTGGAGGCGAGACAACATAAAGGCATGTTGTGACTGGCCATAAATAACTACGATAGCACTGGCAGGAGATCTGAATACATACTTCATACTGTCATTATCTCATTCTCCTTAGGATAATGTAGTCCTTTGTCTGGTTCTCTGATGGCACAGGTCCTAGTTCTGATCTGGTAGCCGATAGCTGGGACGTGTTATTTTGAGATTCCATGGATAGGGAAAGCCGGCAAAGTGATTCTTATGCCCTCCACCCTGGATTTGATTTGATTTGATTTATATACTGCCCCATCAATGCACACACTACTCTGGGCGATTTAAAATCACACAGACCCCCACATAACAATACATGCAACAACATGGCAGTTTTTTAAAAGTCATACAAAAAAAGAAAAGAGAGAACAAGAAAATAATAAAATAAAATATTAATATTAACAGCATCTGGGAGACTCTGTTGTTGATGGCAGCTTTGAATAGTTCTGTTTTGAATAATGTTCTGAACATAAGGAAGGAAGAAGCCTGTCATATCTCTGTTGGTAACCTATTCCAGAGACTGGGGGGCCACCACCAAGAAACCCTCAGATGCTTTGTTGATGTGCCTATACGTCTCGTGGTAGTATCTGATGATTTCACTCCTGTTCCTCCTATGTCAGGGTGTGCTGGTGAATGAGATTGTGCAGCTCAACAGCCAGGTGGATGGGCTACAGCTCAAAGATGTGATGGTTTTTGGTATCCTCAGTCCTCCTCATAAGGTCCTGGCAAATGGCGTCCCGGTCTCAGACTTTTCCTACCGCACAGATACCAAGGTAAGCAGGTCTCAGGGCTGTCCTGTTCGGCTTGCGTGGCAAAAAGAGGTTCCACAGCAGTTCAACACTCAAGGCCTTCTGTGGATGTGGCACACGCGTTTGGAGCTATAAAGTATATACAGCACTTAGAATCTCTGTTGGTAACCTATTCCAGAGACTGGGGGGCCACCACCAAGAAACCCTCAGGTGCTTTGTTGATGTGCCTGTACATCTCGTGGTAGTATCTGATGATTTCACTCCTGTTCCTCCTATGTCAGGGTGTGCTTGTGAATGAGATTGTGCGGCTCAGCAGTCAAGTGGATGGGCTACAGCTCAAAGATGTGATGGTTTTTGGAATCCTCAGTCCTCCTCATGAGGTCCTGGCAAATGGCGTCCCGGTCTCAGACTTTTCCTACCGCACAGATACCAAGGTAAGCAGGTCTCAGGGCTCTCCTGCTTGGCTTGTGAGGCAAAACAGGTTACACAGCAGTTCAGCACTCAAGGCCTTCCGTGGATCTGGCACAAGCTTTTGGAGCTATGAAGTATATACAACACTTGTAAAATACAGTATTTGGGCAAAGATGTGGAAGACAGGAGCTGATTAGGGAAAGACTTCCAAGGGTTTTAATGGTGTTCTCCTCCATTCCCTCTCCTCTTCCAAGATTACCGGTCGCAGGACGGCAACCTTCCCCAACCCACTGCTTTTGCAGATATTCATTCCCTCTCCTCTTCCAAGATTACCGGTCCCACGACGGCAACCTGTCCTTCCCCATCTCACTGCTTTTGCAGATATTTCAAGTGCAAATGAAGGGAAGACGTGCACCTTCTCATGGTTATCCATTTGTTTTGGCATACATCCCTGTTTGGCTTCATTCTCGGGATATGCAGCTACACCTTTTAAAACAAAATGTTCCCTGAAACCTTTAAGGATTTGTTGGATAGGAGAGCTATGATTTTGCAATTCACAAACCAATGGTAGTTTGCTTTGCTCAGAAGTAAGGGTGGCCTCCATGGAATGGCCAACAGGAGCACATGAAGCCAGTGATAAGCTCACAGCCTGGCAGAACTCACAAGGTGGTCTTGGTTGTATGAATTGGGGGTCTCTTGTGTGAGGAGGTCACTGCAGTAGTTCACACATACACACACAGTACTACTCTGCTCACTACTTTGTGAGACCATTTGTGGTCCCACAATCTCCCAAAGACCATTAACTGGGGCCAGGCTCAGCACTTGGTCTCTTAGCCCTCCCTGTGATCCTAAGATGATTCCTTTGGGCAGCTGCCACTTATTTCTTGATATCCCTTCCTCAGATCCTTAACATCCCAGTCGCTCTGCTGATGGGGGAACCATTCATCATCTCCTGGTCCTGAAAAAAGAAGAAAAGGCTCACCAGTTCCACTGCAACGAAGAGCAGAAAGCAAGCCGTTAACATGCACATGATGTTGTCTGTATCACAAAAATAAAGACAATAGGATTGCAGTGCCATGAAGACTGGCAGATGTATGTTTTCAGATTTATTTCAGCTTTCATGGGTTACAAGCCACTTCATCAGGCACGAGGTGAATTAAATGTGTCACGTTTTAAGGTGCCACCAGCCTTCCATTTTTATTTTTGTGATACACACTGAAGCAGATTAGGCACAGATACCTGCTGTGATGTTGTCTGTACAGTGATACACACTGAAGCAGATTAGGCACAGGTACCTTTTTGAAAACTGCTGTGATGTTGTCTGTACCCAACAAACACCAAAGGGCATTTTGGTGGCCTATTGGAAAATGCCTTTTAAGCACAGAACAGTTTCCTGTTCCCTTTTGACATCATGGAAGGCCGACCAGAAATCCTTAGGAACTTCCCGTCATCTTCATCTAAAACAAGCACTTGATGATTTTTGGGTTTCGCTGGAGGCTACTGAGCTTTGTAGCAAAGTGGCCTGAAGTGTGTGGTTTTGCTTTGCTTTGCTTTTGAAAACACATTTTCATGGAAATGGAGATACAGTAACTGCCTGTTTCTTATGATGCAGGCTCCTTTCCAGAGTCAATCAGATGGAAGAGTAAATGTGCCCAGGTATGCGTGTACCATCCAGGTGAGATTACCATATTAACTGCCATGGGCAGCTCCCCTTGGCCTCAACTGCTGGTTTTTATGCTGGCTGTAACAGTGCAGGACCAAACTCCAGTAGTAATAAGGGGGAGTGGAAGGGAAGGTTTCCTCGACTGGGAGCAGAATCTCTGGCAATCATGGTGTGCATTTTAAACCATATTTTCCCTTTTTGAAGCATATGCTTGCAGGCATAGCTAGCAGAGCTGGAGTTTCTGCATGCATGGGGCTTAACACTTTCCATGTCAGGCCTTGTTACATCAGGATGGAGATTCTTCATGGGGCTTCTCTGCTTGAATGAGAAAGATGTCGAAAGCATGTGACCTGCTGGAAAGAACATTCTTATCAATCCGTACTGTGATAGATCCAAAGAAGAACTGGGAAAACTCAGGGAGAGCAGGAAGTTCCTTTGCCTTTGAAGCCTGCAGGACACTTTCAGTACCATTTCTTCAAGCAGAATTGTATATTTTGTAACTCCAATAAATATCTCTCTTAAATCTTGTATTTTCATTTATGTCTCTCCAGGCCATTGCAAGGGTGGCAGAAGGTTTAAGTTGTCTTCGTTTCAGATGAGAAGCGGTATAGTCAAAGAGCTGCATTTTCCACTATTTGTAGCTCTTTGGCATCCAACTTTCTCTCTGTGATTTACTGTCATCTTCCACTTCTTATTTGCTGCATTTACTTTTCCTTCAAAGAGCCCCAGTACGGACTAACCATGGTTCCATTCACATCCTGACCAGGGTTATCCTGACATAGCTTCAGAGATAGTCTTCACACCAGATGCATTGATTCAGATCCATTTTCATAAATAATAATCTTGGAACTGCAGAGCTGGCAGGGACCCTGAGGGATCATCGAGTCGGGCCCCTGTCAAGGAGGCACAGTGGAGAATCAAAACTCCCAACCTCTGGCTCTGCAGCCAGGGGCCTAAGACACTGAGCTATGCAACAGTTAGCATGGTGGGCCAAAAAAGCAAGCATCAGGTTGGCGACCTTGATAATCTGCACTTGATGGAAGTACGTAGTGATTATTTTAATGAATACGGTGTTGTCGCCCAACAAATAGCACACGAACATAAAAAATAACATTCTAAACAAGAATGCGGAAGTTGGCTGCAATTAAAATAAACAGTTGTATAATTACATGAGCTGGCTGAACAGCTCCGTGGTTGGAGCACCCGGCTGCAGTGCCAAGGGTTGGAAGTTCAGTTGTGCCTCCTGGGAGAAGAACCAGCCAGTGCAGTCTTTGGCAAGATGCTACAGTCTCAGACCACCCATAGAAGAAGGGAATGTTTAACTACATCTGAGTACTTTGTGCTTAGAAAACCTTGGAAAACATCTTCACAGGTCAGAAACAACTCAATGCCACACAACTGATAATGGCTTTTTAGACCAGTGGTTACCAACCTCAGGTCCTTGGATGTTCTTGGGACTGCAGCTCTCAGAAATCCTAGTGGTGAAGTCTTCTGGCAGTTTTAGTCCAAGAACATCTGGAGACCCAAGGCTGGGAATCACACAAGACAAATAAAACACCATTGTATTAAAATATGATATAAATAATTGTATTTGCGAAGGCTTTCATGGCTGGGATCTAATGGTTGTTGTGGGTTTTTCGGGCTCTTTGGCCGTGTTCTGAAGGTTGTTCTTCCTAACGTTTTGCCAGTCTCTGTGCTGTCCTCTGAAGATGCCAGCCACAGAGACTGCTGAAACATTAGGAAGAACAACCTTCAAAACACAGCCAAAGAACCTAAAAAACCCACAACAACCAATATAATGTGTGCTCTAGAGAGGAAAAGCAAAGCAAAAAGGCAAAGTATGCTGCATATATACCACCCCATACAGCTTAAAGCACTCGCTGGGAGGTTTAGCTGCATATATACCACCCCATACAGCTTAAGGCACTCGCTGGGAGCTTTACAATTTTCTAATTATACAGGCTACATATTCTCTCCTCAGCGATTATTTTACCGATCTCAGAAGGATAACAATTTTCTAATTATACAGGCTACACATTCTCTCCTCAGCAATCATTTTACCGATCTCAGAAGGATGGAAACCTGAGTCAACTTTGAGCCGGCTGTCAGATCCATTGGTACCAAACGCTGACTGCGAGATGAGTTTTGGCTGCAATGCTACAGTTTAACCACTGCGACACGAGGCTCATAGCCCACCACATACTGTACTTTCTTTACATTCGCGACATTCCATTTAAAAGAGAAGAAACTGTCATTTTGCATCTCCCTGTGTGCAAGATAGAAAAAGACAAAAGAAAACTGTGGTTAAAAGCTGAGTGAGTCTGTTTTGCAGTATCCATCGATGTCTTCCAGATATATTTTTGAAGCACTGCTACAGTCTAATTGTTGGTATATGTTGAAAATAAATCAGCAATTCACAGATTCAAGTATGCCTCAGGAACCTACAGAGTTCTAATTATGATATGTTTGTATGGTAACATACACTATAGAGACCCATTATTCACTATTAGTCCCTAGAGTAACAGAGCCAGCCCTATATTTCGCTCTTTAGAAATTGCCCATAATGACATTATCTTTTTGATGTGGACTATATTTACAGGCTGGGTTTTTTTTTTAAAGTCCTGTAGGAGGAAGCTCACCTCTTTGTTATTCACTGTTTCCTGACTTCATCATACTGGCTTGGGAGCCACCCATATGTATTTTCCCCCTTTTTTTCTTTATGCAATCGTGGATTTTTCCTTGTAGTAACTCAGCTCACCCTTCCACTTTAAACTAGGCAGAGCTTCTGACTAGGTTTGCTGGTATGTTGACAGGCACATTCCTTTGAACAAAACAAAACTTCCCGGCAGAAGATCTATGCCTGCTGCAGTCATAAAGGGTTGCCAATGAACAGGATCACAATATTCTGAGAGCAAAGGCTTTCGAACGCATGAAGCGGCTGTAAAATAAATCAGCAGGCTGTGCTTCCAGATCTCAGGCAGAGAGAGGCCCTTCCCGTTGTTGTCATTTGAGATCCTTGAAGTAAGTGGTGGCTGACGATTTTGTGGCATGTTGCTTTGCGGTAGAGAGATTTCTGAGCAAGGCCAGAGGCCAAAGTGGGCACTCGGTCTCTTCCCCCTCACCAAGTTAGCATCGCATTGTAAAATCATCTTTCTCTTCACTGGAGTTTGTATAAAACAATGGTGCACAAGGGAAGGTTGGGAACCTTCTCTTAACACCCCTTGTCTGGCTTGGTCACACAAAGAAGCTGTGGCATGTTCTCTCCATAAAGCAGCCTCCCGCCCCGGATTCATTCACTCTCCCCTCCGTGCTCTCTCTCTCAGCTCCAGCTGCAACAGAACCTGTGGAGTCCCCCTGATGTTTTCCAAGGGATTGAGCTAGAGGCTGTCCTTGAAGGCTCGCTGTCATCCCTTGCTTTGTGTCTCCTCTCCCTTGAAGGTCTTTTGTGTTCTTAAAATATCAGTCAGAAGAGCAGTATGTCCCCTCTGCTACAATTTGGCTGTATGTTAATCTGTTGGTCCTGTGCATTTCTACATAAATAAGTAACCAATTAACCAGGATAAATCTTTAAACTCCAGCTCCCTTCTAACCTCTCCTTACCTGGTTTTCCCACATGTTGCTTACTGAAGGGACCTGTTCTTTTTAGCTATCATACATAATAACCAAATGCTGGCTGCTGGGCCAGAGCATATGATGCGATGCATCTGATTTTGTCTGGTTCTACTGATCAGGTGAAAGACACTATGGCTGAATTAATAGTTAATAATAGTTGACATTCAGGCTGTGGCTTGACTGTCATTTCCTGTGCTAATATGGTGCTGTGATGAGGTGCTAAACCATCATTCTAAGGAACAGTCGTAGGGGAAAGTTTAAGGATACAAAATAGTAATGGGATATTTTGCAGTACAGTATTTTCCCTGGATACCACTTGTTTGCACTGAACTATCCTTGCTGGGCCACCACTTTGCTATTTTCTCCATGAGTGAAAGTCTCACCTGTAGCATGTGGCTGATAGATGTGTCAAATCGGTGTGTTTTACAGATGAAAGGAGGTGTGTTTCTCTTCACCTGCATATTCAGAGGTGGTAATACTTCTTGTACTGTATTAAAGTAAAAAAAAAGTAATGTTTAAAAACATCACCATCTTGCATATTTAGTCCAAAGATCTATAGTTCACTTCTTGGTTTCTTCATTATTAACACCTCTTTGAACCAGGGTTCAATTATGGGCCTTGAGAAAGTTTGAAAGAATGCTTTAGGCAGGGTCCATTTTTTAGGAATTTGCTGTCAATGGCCAGTTTGATTATTGTCCTCCACCCTTATTTTTTATTCCTTGTCTCCACTCTTGGCTATCAGAAGGCCTGTGGAAGGCTTATGGGTAGCATATGAATATGAGAGCTAAACCTTGTTGTGTGTCTTCAGCTCCATGAACTGAGAGGTAGGCTGCTCCTGAGCATAGACTAAGGCTGTGCAACGTGTGGCCCTCCAGATGATGCTGGCCTTCCTTGGCTCAGCTGGCTAGGGCTTATGAGAGTTGCCGTCCAATGACATTTGCAGGGCCACAAGGTGTCCCTCCATTCCCAGGATATAGCTTTGTTTAGCTGTCGACCCCCAACCTGCCAGTATCTCACCATTTCTCTTGTATGGGGTACCTTACATGGATAATAATTACAACATGCCTGAAGTGCCAACCTTGGCTGTAAAGCAGGGCATAAAAATAACAAGTCAAGAAATATATTTACTTGGAAGTAAGTACTGTTACTTTCAATTGATGCCACTTCTGAGGAGGTAAATGAGGAACCTGGGGGTTTTGTCACTTACTATGGGTGCTCAAAATAATTTAATATCTCATTGTGTTCTGCTGTTCCATTCACAAGTGGGAAGGCAGTGACTCTCAAGGGTGGGGGTTGTGCTGGAAGCGTGAGGGAGGATTTTGACCTAGGTCTCCTAGCATTAATCCTTGGGCTTCCAAGGTATGTAGCTAGAACCAGGAGGAAGCCCAAATGCCCTGCCGAGCCATAGATGCCTGATGGTGCCGTGACAGCACTATACATCGTGGATAGAGTAATTGCCTTCTGGCCTGGCACTATGCCCAGGAGGAAGAACTAAGGCTGGATACATTATTCAGGCTCCATGGCAGGCTGTGCCGGCTCTCCTGAAAAACCTGTTTGACTGGCACTTTTCAAAAATCAGTCTCTCTCTCTCTCTCTCTTTCTCTTGAAGAAGTGGAGCACCAATCATGCCCAGCACAGCGTTTGCCACAGTAGATCAACAGGAACAGGTAAGAGTCTCTCTCTCTCTTATGCCTTCAGCTTTTCTGACCAGGGGACTGGCCTCAAGGAAAGAAAGACTGCTGAATATTCCTTTTGCCAAGGGCTTTTGTCCTTTGATATGCCTACCTAGGGCAAAGGAGTTAAGGAGAAAGAAACATAGTCTGGATTCCTATCTTCTCCCTCCCAACTTTCCCCAATGAATACAGGCCTTCATGTATGATGTCTTGTCAAATTGTAGAGGAAAGGATAAAGAGCTCAAGAAACTAAACTAAACTTTGGGGATTGTAGGGGCACAGTTCCTGGAATTTATCCTTACTAGTGAAGAGCAGGGCCAACCCTACCATTGGAGCCAGTGAGGTACCTGCCTCAAGCAACAAGTTTTGTATGCTATGAATGGAATCCAGTGTTTTAGTTATTTAATTTCTTTGTATTGTTATTATGAGGGAATTATTTCACTTGTTTCTATTGCCATTATTAGGGATGCGCAATGTTTCTTTCGTTTTGGGTTCTTTTGCAAGTGACTCTTTCATTTTTCTTTGTTTTCTGTAACAGTCCTTTCATTTAAAATAACACGGAAAGCCTCTTTGAGGTTTGTTTGTTTTGGGTGTTCTCTTTGTGTTTTCTTGCACTGCAAGTCTTCCAGAACCCTCAGAAACTGCTAAAAAAATTTGAGAGGCAAGGTAATAGAAAATCAAAGTAACTCGAAAGCAAGCAACAACACAACCAACAACCACCTACACCAGCAAGTGGCACACTGGCACAAAGTTTTCTCCCCAGACTATACAATCCCACAGAAACAAACAAATCAGTCTCCCCCAACACCCCACCAAAATATATGCCTATAACAGAAAACACAGTAAATTAACCAAATAACAATCTTAAAAAATCAGTCAAACAAGGAAAGCACACCCACCCAGACAGGGGGGAAAAACCTAGATAAAACACATACACACAGAGAGAGAGACTCCTTCTCCAAAAACTGAGAAAAGCAAGCAAGTAAATGAAGGCAAAAAATACCATCAGACTCCTTTCTCCTCCAGCTTGCCCCCACCTAGGGAAGGGTTATAGCCTGTGGGGGGGGAAGGGATGTTGTTGGGAAGAGTTTAATTTCCATCCCTCTCACACCATCTTGACCCCAATAATAATTATGCTTCCCTGAAAATGCATCTAGGTAAAGGTAAACGTTCCCCTTGACAATTTTTGTCCAGTCGTGTTTGACTCTAGGGGGCGGTGCTCATCGCCGTTTCCAAGCCATAGAGCCAGCGTTTTTGTCCAAAGACAACCTTCTGTGGTCACATGGCCAGTGCGACTTAGACACGGAACGCTGTTACCTTCCCACCGAAGTGGTCCCTATTTATCTACTCGCATTTGCATGCTTTCGAACCGCTAGGTGGGCGGGAGCTGGGACAAGCGACGGGCGCTCACTCCGTCACGTGGATTCGATCTTACGACTGCTTGGTCTTCTGACCCTGCAGCACAGGCTTCTGCGGTTTAGCCCGCAGCGCCACCACGTCCCTGAAAATGCATCTAGAAAAATATAAAACATTAGGGATGGTTCTGTTGCAGTTTCCAGTCATTCCTTGTTGTCTAGACCAGTGGTCCCCAACCTTGGGCCTCTAAATGTTCTTAGACTTCAACACCCAGAAATCCTGGCCAGCAGAGGTGATGGTGAAGGCTTCTGGGAGTTGTAGTCCAAGAACATCTGGAGGCCCAATGTTGGGGACCACTGGTCTAGATTCTTCCTTGCTTCCCCTCTTCTTTCCTTCACTCTTCCTGTTCTCTACGCACCACCAAGAGTCGCTCAGTGGTAGCACACAGGGTCAGTCCTTGCCAGGACCCACTGAAGGCCAGTCAACCAGCTACCTGAGAAGGGCTGCTTTGTAGCAATGTGTGACTCTGGACGGCTTCCACTGCCAATCAAAGTAGACACTATGAACAATGGTTTGTTTTATCACATGGCATCTGCATATGTAGGGGCATGCCTTTGCAAACCCTTATAGCAACTTTATGCCGGTTTCTTACATTGTCATATATGAATGTGTCCTTATTTATTTTTATCCCAATAATCCTCTCTGCAGATTTTTATGTGCTAAAGAAGGGCGAAAATCATCTCTAGAGACGTAAGTCATCTCTACTAAATCCCTGTTATCGAGCCTGTGCCTGTTGAGTTGCTTTTCCCTCACAGACAGTTCATCACAACATTTTCTTCCATTATTTTATTTTTCATTTCTTCTTATTATTTCCATTTAACCACAACCTCATTCTTGCCATGGTGACCACCCCAAATACTAATAGCTCCTCATTCTGTAAATGTTATTGGGTTCTTTAAAAGAGTTGGAGTTATAGTTATTTCTTATTTCATGATATGTCAGCTTTTAAAAAACATTTTCTCTCAAAATCTTTATGGAATTTCACAATTCTGCCACAGTCGGAGAAAAGCACTTCCTTCTCCATTATTGTTCATTTATGGCACTTAAAACATAGCTTAATTTTTTAGTTCAAATACAATGTTAAAGAGGATTTTCAGCAAATTCACTCCTATTTTAGATAATACAGATTTTAAAGGGGAGGCTTTATTTCTTAATCATTCCCATTTATTATATCTTTCCTCCTCCCTTGCTTAATTCTTTCAGTAGCGATAGTTGTTCCCTCTGTACTAATGTGTGTGATACTACGGCTTTCAGCATCCCATTGTTATTAAAAATTAATAGCCGTGCTACATATCCACTTACAAAAACAGCTGTACCTAACAAAATGTTCATATCTTGTGGATATTTTGCCAGCTGGGTGCCCTCCAGATGTCTTAGATGACACTTCCCACCATTCCTGAAAGGGTAAAACAGCTGCAGAATGCCAGTTCAGGGAAACTGGTCTTAGAAGATTTTTATTTGTTGTTCACCAAAAACGACCAAACTTTCCTGTCTGTCCAGGTTTTCATTATGGCGGAGGCAGGAAGAGCAGATGATGACCCCAACCTGGTAGACCAAGAGCTCCGCGACATGGATGAAGACCATCTGTGGGAGATGGTGGAGGGCCATCGCTACAGAATAGTGCGGGGCGTCTGCCCAAGCCGGCTTACTCCCTACTTACGCCAGGCCAAGGTGTTTGGTCAACTGGATGAGGAAGAGGTGCTGCACAACCCCCAGTTCACAAACAGTGCCATGCGAGTGGGTGAGCAGCCTAGTGTGGCAATGATGATGGAATGCAAGGAGGCACATCTGTACACTTCTGGGAGAAAATATATATGTCTTCATTGCTTTTCTGCCTCAAGAAGAAAAGAGGAGGGGAGGCAGTTGTTGTGTAAACCTTTGTTGTGTAAACCTATATTTGTTGTCAGGTTCACAGTAACCCCTGCTTACAAGTAGATGAGAAAGACTACCAGCTTTGGAAAGCTGAACTTCTATGTATAGGAAGAGACATGTTGGCCCAAATCCTTTTCCCTTGTTATACTGGTGTAACACAAATGGCATAACCTTTGAAGTACTTAAAGAAATCACCATGGATATTATCTCTGCCTACTGAGTTGCCTGACTCAGTGGGCAATTAACCGGAGGCAATTTACATCCAAAAGTTACATAAGAGGATTTCGTCTATTCTGTTAGAAAGCAGAGAGGCTTTGGCCTGCAGAGTGGAGGAAAAGGAGAATTGCAGCTGTGTATACCCAGAAATTGGTAATATTACCCTTGGAGGGAAATCTGGCCACTGATGGCAACATTTAATGGCTGTTACATCCCTTCTGAGAAATACAACAGATCTGACATATTGCTCTCTCTCTCTCTCTCTAGTCATGCTGCATTCTTTGGGCTTCTCTCTGGTGGGGCTCTGTTTACTGAGTCCTCATCACTTTACATGGTTTCTTTTAATCTCTTACAGGTCACATGCTGGATCTCTTGAAATCCCGGGGGAAAAATGGAGCCCTGGCTTTTCTGGAAAGCCTGAAACTCCACAACCCTGATATTTATGTCCTCATCACTGGCTTGGAGCCTTCCATAGATCACAATCATTTCAGTGGTGAGACTTGCTGTTCTTTTCTCCTCATCTATTCCTACACGGTTTTTCTTTCTGTGAGGAATTGGCTATTGAGAATGTCTTTATCACCAGAATTATGATTGTGTGGCAAGCCACTGACAAAATCAAGCCTGGCCTTCGATACTTTGCATCTGAGGCAGATAATCAAAATAGATTCTCTTCCATATTCCAACAGCCATGCACTCTCTCTCCTGATGATGAAGTGCAAGTTTCTGGTTTATTTGGTGTCTTTCAGTGATGACAAATTGCTGCTGCCTTATTCTTCCTGGTCTGGACCCAGACAAAGGCCTAAATGTTTTCTCCATTCCTCTAGACCTGATTGAGAGTTCCCAGCTGACAGAATGCTTGGCCAAAGCGGTGAGCAGCCTGCAGGAGGAGCTGAGCCAAGAGAAAAGGCAAAAGGTGTCCCTGTTCCACCACTGCTGCAAGCTGAAGGAGAACACTGCCCAGCTGGAAGCCCGAGCTGAAAGCCTGCAAGGCATCGAGGCAGAGTGCAATCGCATGAAGAGGGAGCTTAGTGCTCACTTCCATGAGGCACTCAAGCTTAAAGATGAACTCTATGGCCTATCTTTGCGCTACAGCAGTGCCCTGCAAGAGAAGGACCTGGCCATCACCCGCTGCCAGAGCCTGCAGGAAGAGGTGCGGTAGGGCTTGGGGAGTCTCAGCTGGGCTTCTGTGACCACGGTGACTGGAGAGAATTCAATTGCCAATTTACATTTGCATAAGAGGAATCACAAAGAAGACTCAACACCAAAACATGGCTCTTTATCAAGGTTATGGTTGTGTTCTTAGACATGCACTCAGTTATATGACTGGGTACACATCCAGAAATGCAATCAGTAACTCGTTAATGAATGGCTATTTGCTGCCCAAAGTTAGGTGATTTCCTTTATCCAAGCATAAATCAACAACAGGATTCTGGCCACAGGGTACTAACTGTGATGATGCGTTTTGCTGGTGCTCTAATATCACTATAATGTTCTGCCCAAAGTCCAGGGTGAGACAGACAAGTATGATGCTGGCAGACTCAAAAGACGTGGCCACTGTTTGCCAACCCAAAGGAAAAATGAAGATAGCATAGTCAGCCCCTTGAAATACCTGAATACAATTTCTAGTATGTATTGATCCATCTGATTGACTGAAAATGATGTAATTGACAAATCTGTTGAGTTTTTTAGATTATGAGATTATGCATTTTAAAGTAGGATGGAGGGCCATCAGTATCCTCCAGCCAGAAAATGATGTTTCTTAATGGTGGCGAGTGCTCCTTCTCAGTTGGAGGCACACACGTCTGCAGTTGGAAATCATGCTCAACCCTCTTCAGGCTCTTTCACCTAATTCTGCAAATCTTGGCCTTTTCCCAAGCAGGCTGATCCCACCCTCTTGTTTCTCAGCTATTATATTTCAGCTCAGTTTGTGTTGGCACCACACACACTCAACTCAGTCCAGTCGGGAGGGGGGGCCACATGCTTAAAACCCCAAACCCTTGGTGTTCCCATGTTCCACAGGAAATGCCACAACTGGTTTGCCAATGTTTTGCAGAGCTGGCTGTTTTGATCGCACTTCTGCTCTCCTTTTCTGTTTCTCTGCCCACTCTTAGCTCTATCTGGTGAAGCAGGAATTGCAGCGAGCCCAAGTGTCGTTGTATTGTGACAGAGAGAGGTCTCTGAGGACAGGGGAGGGCCTGCAGTCCCAAGCAGATGAGCTTCTGGTGCTGAGAGAGGAGAATGAGCGTCTCAAGACCCTGGTGGAGCTGAAGAACTTCAGCATGGTAAAAGAAATATGCAAACTATGGCCAGCAGTGTATTCCCTATTGGTTGGAAGTTGTACCTAAATACTTGAGATATAAACTGGTATCGCATAGTATTTCCTTCTTTGCACAAGTCTAGGAATTAGCTCTGTAGTGAAAGCTAGGGAGCCCTGAGATAGAATTCTTGGAAAACCTTTAAACTACAGTAGTGAGGGTTTTTTATGAGAACTCAGAGCAGGTCAGATGTTATGAGAAACAATCACTGAAATATTGTTCTTAGTCTACTAAGTCACTCTAGAGTAGGCCAATTGAATCAGTGGGGATTTGGTGAGCATGTCCACAAGTCCCATTAATTCAAGTGGGCCTACTCTAGTTGTGACTTGCTGCATTAAAGTAGGTTGCAACTAGAGTAGGCCCATTTGAATCAATGGAACCTATAGAGAAGTTGATTCACCAGATCTCCACTGATTAAATGGGTTTGCTTTAGTGTAACGTACTCTGCTCAGCAGCAGGATTTCAGCCATATCTGTATGTTTGCACAGGAGATATGCAGAGGTGTAACTTCCCTTTCTGTTTGTAGTTCCTCTGTGAGGACCCCAACAGGAGAAGGCAGATGTTCACAGATATAGCCTCCATATATATGAGTTTTACTTCTCTCCATCCCTTGCTAGGGAGGGCATGAGGTGATATGGTTATGGAGAGAAGCCTCCTGAGAAAGCCTGTCTCACTTTTCCAGGTACAGAAAGACATTCTAGAACAAGACCTTGATGATGCTCTGGAGGGTAAACAGGAGCTGCTGAACCGTATCCATTCACTGAGAGAGCAGGCCGTGTTTGCTGAGAATCAACGCAAGCAGGTGAGGCTGCTGTGCTGTGTTTTGTCTTGTTCTTTCTAGGGTTTCCTCTACACTCAATGGAACAGGTAAAGTCTTCAGGTGACATCAGGATATCTCAAAGAGCATACTTGCAGTTAAGTCCCAGTTTCTTTCCTTTCTTCAGTCCGATACCCAATACTCGACTACATTTCTGAGGGCGAAGTAGTAGATGAATATGACCAAGTAGCCATCCAGCCTTCTTGACATCTCTTGAAATCCAGTCTGTCACACCTTAACCAGGCAGAGTTCAGAGTATTTGTTGCCTGTTTGATTCCAGTAAATTTGCCTCAGTGTCTTCAGAACGATGGGATGGGGAACATAAGTAGTTACTTCAGCTGATCCAACAGGACTAACATAGTATTGATGCTTCCTAGTTCTTGGCTCAACATCAGGGAGTAGTTGTAGAATCTCAGTTAAGAGACTAAACTATAAACTAGTATTCTGCAAGACTCCTGTTCCCTATTAACTCATTGGGTAAGACTGGATAAGCCAATAGCTCTCAGCCTGTTCATGCTTCAGTGTGAAGCATGAGAGAAAGCAGACCATTGGGCAAAGTGAGGTGGTTTCCACAGACAGCAGGATGTGGCACAGCTACCTCCTGGCCTTTCACTGGTGCTGGATGATAAAGCCATGTATTTCAGGCAGCCTGTTCTGCCGCCCTAAGCTATTCGGCTGCCTCAGGTGAGGCCAAAGATGTTTCCCTGTCACTGATGTTGAAGGTAAAATGCATCTACTAGTCATTCAGATGGAACGACAGGGATGGGGTTGGTGAGGTGCCATCTTGTCCTCTTCTCTGGACACCTGTTCCACCTCAGCAAGATATCTTGGATTAGCCTTGCTATAACATGAAGAATTAAAGACACTCACCATGTTATGCTGTTCACAAAAGTTATCGAAAGAATTGTGCACTGAGGCAAAAAAGGAATGATAAAAATCCTGAAACAAGAGTGTTTTTAACATGTTAGAGACTAGTAAATTTCATTTAATATAAAATTCTGTGGGCTTTTATTTCATCAGGTGCAGTACTAATGACTGCAGTGGCCTACCATCCATGAATACTTGTGTCAAGCAAAACTAACAAATATTTCACACTCTTTACTGATGGGCTGCAATAGATTAACAGACCACTGGACATACAAATTCTCCATGCTCTTATCTTCTAAACAGTGCTGGGAAGAAAAGGAACAGACTCTGATTAAATGCCAGAGGATGAAGGTGGACTGTGAGATCTACAAGGAAAAAATCAGTGCTCTCCAGGCACAACTGGCTGACCTACAGAAAGAAAGAGATCAGGTATCTGAGCAAGAAGAGGGAGTTTTTCTATGTTGAGAGATGGATGTTTGCCAAAATAAAGGAGAAGTTCATTTGCCTATTGGTAGAAACTCAAAACTGCAGCTTATTGCAATGGTTACAGATACCCACATCAAGTACTGGTCATATATTGTGAAATAGTATAACTTCGTACTCTTTGTTAACTCTGAGGTTAGGGTGGGTGACATGGTTAAAAGCATAAAAGGAGTTGTGTCAAGACCTGCCATTTCCGTTAGCTACCATATCCATTTTGTTCTGCTGTTGCAATAGTGTTACTCAAACACAGGTATAAATTAGCAGAAGTTGGCTTCTTCCAAAACTTCTGCCTTAGTTTCATTATTATTATTAATTGTTGTTGTTGTTGTTGTTGTTGTTGTTGTTGTTGTTATTATTAGTTTCTATTCCATCTCCCCACCCTTCACAAGCCTTTCTTGCTTCTGTTATGTTTCTGTCTTCCTCTCCTAGGCCTATAGTGCCCGAGACACAGCTCAGCTGGAAATTTCCCAGAGCCTTCTGGAAAAAGATTCACTTCGACGCAAGGTCTTTGAGCTCACCGATGAGATCTGTGAACTTCGGAAGCAGGTGGGCCTGAGTGGCTCAATATTGATGGTGAGGTTTAGCCTGGGGCTTGGGGACAGGGTCCTATGAAGATGTACAGCACAGGAGAGCAAGGTATATACTCAGTCACTATTATGGCAGGTCCTTCTAGAATCTCTTGTAGCTAAACTCCATGAGTTGTTAAATTTGTAGTATGTGAGCCTCCCTATCTTTTTCACCTCTAAGTAAGTATGCAGCCTCCTTTTAGATACCTACCTTCACATAGTTAAGGTGTTTCAGAGTGTCTGGAACACTAGGAACATGGCCATGAGAAGGCTGGATTCCATTACAAGTCTAGACACCCAACAGAGTCATCCAAGATGGAATAGTCAAAGCCGAGGCACCTGACCAAGATGCATCAACTTTCATGGTCTGTTCAGCAGAAGAGAATGGATAGTAACAATGGCGACAGAGAACAAGGAAATGAAGGGCAGCACCTGGGCGGCAGCAGTAGTGGAAGGAGACACTGACAAAAGATTTTTCATAGACAATATCAGTGACACTCAAGCCAATTCACAGTACTACTGTGCAAAAGAAAGCAATGATTAAACCACTTCTGAATATTTATACCTTGAAAATGCTACGAGGCAATTGCAAATGAAACAAGAGATACTGCTGGAAGATGACACCCTCAGGTCAAAAGTGACTCAGTCAGCTGAGTAATTATGGAAAAGTTAAGGATAAGAACAAATAGACTACAATAGGGACGTGGTGGCGCTGCGGGCTAAACTGCAGAAACCTGTGCTGCAGGGTCAGAAGACCAGCAGTTGTAAGATCGAATCCACGCGATGGAGTGAGCGCCCGTCGCTTGTCCCAGCTCCCGCCAACCTAGCGGTTTGAAAGCATGCAAATGCAAGTAGATAAATAGGGACCACCTCGGTGGGAAGGTAACAGCATTCCGTGTCTAAGTCGCACTGGCCATGTGACCACGGAAGATTGTCTTCGGACAAAATGCTGGCTCTATGGCTTGGAAACAGGGATGAGCACCGCCCCCTAGAGTCGAACACGACTGGACAAAAATTGTCAAGGGGAACCTTTACCTTTACAATATTTTCGGCATATTATGAAAAGACAAGACTCACTGGAAAAGACAATAATACTGAGAAAGAATGGACGGCAGCAAGGAAAGAGGAAGATTGAATATGGGGTGGAAGGAAACAATGGCCTTTAGTTTCCAAGCAGGGCTCTTAATGCTGGGAAGTTCTGGAGGCTGGGTTACAAGGTTGTCTTAAGATGGAGTGGTTTCATGGCACATAACAAATAAGTATGTATGCCTCTTCTTAAGACTCTTGTGCTCAAGAAGTGGAGATTTAAACCTTCCCCAAATGGCTTCTAGCCCCGTTCTCCCTGGTAAGTAGGGGCTTACACAACCAGTACAAAACTAAGATTCACCTGCCTGACTGGTCAACGTCTCTATGTGGAATGAGGGAGCTCCATCATCGTGTCCTTCGTAGCAAATTCCTTTGGGCAGCTGCAGTGCAGAGATACAGGAGGCAGCCTCCTTCAAGAGCAGGGGCCTTTGGTTCAGAGAAGCCTTTCATGATTTAATGTAATTATTCCCTGTGATATTATCTTGTGATATATCTGTGTTCCTCCCCACAGGCTTTGGAGGTGGGAAGATAGGGTTAGATGGGATAAAAATCCATTGCCTGTGACTATAGAGCTCCTCCCTCTCATTAATCCTGAGGCGCCTTGTGTTGTTTTGTGAGAGGAGGTTGCCTTGTGAAAGAACTGACTCCCCCCTCTTCATTATGGCTCTTTCTTCTTCAGCAGGTTCAAGCGAATGAGCTTGCCACTTCTAAGTCCAGGGAACCTTGCCCAAAGAGGAAGCAACGCTTGGTACGCATGCATGCCATCGGTCCCCGGGAAGACAGCCAGGACAGCTTACTGAGCATGTCCGAGGTAATTCCCCCCCACCCTTCCCTCCCCAAACTTTTCCTTAAGATCTGCCACTGAAAGGTAGGGGTGGGGGAGAGAGAGAACTATCTTCTGAGAGTCGTGTCTCACTGGTCCACTTCAGTTTCAGTAAATACCTGGAGGTAACTTCATGCAGGGCCCCATTCCTTAGGACAGTGGCTCCCAACCTTGGGTCCCCAGACGTCCTTGGACTAAAGCTCCCGGACATCTTCACCACTAGCTGTTGCTGGCCAGGACTTCTGGGTATTGGAGTCCAAGAACATCTAGGGACCCAAGGTGGGGAACCAACTACTTTAGAGGATGGAAAACACAAGGTTGGGAACCACTGCTTTAGAGGATGGAAAACGTGGGAGCAAGGGCATTGCTTCATTCCTTCCCTTGAATGAGAGGAACTGGGGTCAGCCTGTATGACGTGCCCTCATGCCGCCACCCTGACTTCTCTTGCTGTCCAGTCTTGGTCTGATTTAAGCCAGAAGTCTTCCCAAGAACTGTTTGAGAGCTTCCGTTCATGCAGCCCGATCCCGCCTTGCAAGCATTCTTTGCAAAGGAGAGCATTGCAGGAAAGCTCTTTCTCCAGGAGGTGAGTATGTTACGGCTTTCTAGGCTGTGGCTTCCTCTGTATCTGTCTTATGTTTGAGGATGTGAGGCCTGTTGTTGTTGTTTTAAAAAAAGCCCCAAATGTTCATTCACAGAAATGTTTGCAAAGCAGGCAGCTCGAGATGTGTTGATGTCTTTCAGGTCAAAACAGAGCTTGACATTGTAGTAGAGAGTTCCCCCAGAAAACAACAGCCATTTTAAGCCACAGTTGGGAATGGCATATGAAATGACAGGGATGACTGCATATTGAGGAAGAATTGACAGAGATGTGTTGATCCACACTCATGGACTTACATTGCTCAGAAGAAACTTTAAATAGGAAGGGGAGATTTCATTTGGAGCTGAGACAGATTAGACTACAATAATGCCCTCTACGTGGGGCTGCCCTTGGGAGTGCTACGGAAACTGCAACAGGTCCAGAATGCAGCAGCCAGACTTCTTAGTGGGGTTAGAAAATACCAAAATATTTCTCCCACTCTGGCTTCCTTACACTGGCTACCGGTTGGCTTCTGTACTAGATTCAAAGTGATGGTACTAACCTATAAGGGCCCTAAATGGTCTGGACCTCTCTATCTGACCAAGCTCCTTCTTCAAGTTAGATCTGCCCGTCCTATTAGAACTATAAGGGCCCTAAATGGTCTGGACCTCTATATCTGACCAAGCTCCTTCTTCAAGTAAGGTCTGCCCGTCCTATTAGATTGTCACAGGCAGGGCGGCTGAGAGTTCTGATCCTGAAAGAAGCTCGGAAAACAATCACTAGAAATCGGGCCTTTTCTACGGTGGCCCCACAATCCTGGAACTCTCTTTAGCCCGAAGTCCTCCTGGCCCCTTCACCGGGCCCATTCAAAAAGCTACTAAAAACCTGACTATTTAGACAGGCCTTCCCTGAACAAACTAGACTCTGATACAATAGTGTCCAATAATATAACTTTTGTTTTTATATTTTTCTACACTTTTAATTAAAATAAATAAATAAATAAATAAATAAGACCATTTTAAGCATAGGATGGGGGGGAGGAAGAATTACATACTGCTCTGAACCAAACCTCACCTGTAAAATAATACACACAAAACTGTGTTGTTTACAAGAACCTGAAATGAATGCTTTAATTTTAATTTGACACACTGAGTAGATTTTTGTTTTGATTCTCTATCAGTGCACACATAAATAAATAAATAAATAAATAAGACCATTTTAAGCATAGGATGGGGGGGAGGAAGAATTACATACTGCTCTGAACCAAACCTCACCTGTAAAATAATACACACAAAACTGTGTTGTTTACAAGAACCTGAAATGAATGCTTTAATTTTAATTTGACACACTGAGTAGATTTTTGTTTTGATTCTCTATCAGTGCACACATCATTACTTTAACTTCATTTTCCCCTTCTCCTGCAGCAGTTCCCAGGAGTTTCTGGAAGAGGATTTTTCCCTTCCTTCGGAGGAGAAATTGGAGGATCCCCTTTTTATGAATGAGGAGGGCCAAGAAGGTAGGATTTCACCACACAAAGCAAACTTTTTCCAGTATTTGTATGTGCCCCATGGGGAAGGGCAGAGGACTTCTTTCCAGCTGAAATCAGGTAATGAAATCTTACCTGATTTCATTGCCCCAGTGCAGATCTCATAATACTTCCCTGTAAAATGGTTGGTCTGCCTTTTCTAGAGGGGGGAAATGTTAAGAATGTTAAGCGAATAGTATAAAATGGTTTTAAAAATCAACTAAATGTTCCTCTTAACATATCTCAAAGAGTAATTGCATAAGTTACAAGCAAGGAAGAAAAGTAACATCCAAAGTAACATTCCGCCCATTATGTTGCTTTTAATTTATTACTTCCAAGCTGTATCTGAAACTCAGCAGAGTGTAGTCAAAAACATCTTTAAATCCTATTAGTTTCAGTGGAACAGCACTGAGTATGTCTTTTTAGTGGAAACAGAAAGGTAATAAAACAAAGGTGGGATCATTTCCTAGAATGATCATAAACACTAAGCATTATTGTCTTTAAATATTGTTAAAGAGGGTGGGAGAGGGAATGACTGGTTGGCTGGAGGCTTTTTTCCTTTTCCTGCCACTGCAATCCGAAGTGGGAGATGTCTTTGAGCAGCAGTGAAAGTGCTGAAAATGATACATCACCCCCTAGCTGCTGTTCCCCCAAGGAGAGAGGGGGAAAGTATAGTTGGTTCCCATATATAACCAGACAGGAAGGCTGAAGGAGCAAATACTAAGGATGAACATCTGTGTAGCAACCAGCAGAACCCGCCTGTTGCTGCAAAAACCTTTATCCCTTATGAGGGGCAAGTGTGCAGTATTGCCCAGTTACATGGATGCTTAGACTTGAGAGGTGTGTTTGTTCAGTATGCTGCCTTTCTCTCAGAACAGGGGACCAAAGGCAGCTTACAGAACAATTTAAAAGCAATTGAAATTAAAATACAATAAAACTGCAAACATTAAAACAGAATTAAAATCATCATGGCATCAGAACATAATTAAAAGTTAAAATACTTAAACATATTAATGGTAGCTTAACTTTTTAAAAAAATGAAAGAAAAGCAGCTCATCAGCTAAGATCTTTAAGAGACAAGGTTCGAAATTGTTTACTCAGATGTTGTTGTTGTTGTTGTTTTCCATTTCAGAAGGCAGCTTGATGTGCCTCCACATGGATCCCTGCATCTCAGAGAGGTACATATAACATGTTGGCTTGAGAGCACTGTGATTTTTGGTCATCATTATCAATGGTCTCAAGGTCCCAGTCAAGGTCAGGAGGGTTTATCCTCACCTTAGTGGCTGAGATATCAGTGATCGAGACAAAACACAAAGAGGCGGCATGGGTCGCACAAAGTCATGAACCAGCTCCATCCCAAAAAATTGTAATCCAGCCAACAAATGCATCAGAAGGCATTTATAGGCAGGGAAGTGGAAAGAGTAAGGAGCCTGCCAAGAAGAAGCAGAATGGGAAAACAGGTGCAGAGTTTTAGCAGGAAAGCAGGGCTTGGAGCAGCAAGCCAGATAACCTGTTATAGACTTTTCTGGAAGTAATTATAGCTAGTGGGAGTAATCAGAGGCCAAGATCAAGGATAGTCCTCTGTAACAAGGAACCTAATTAAAAAAATTATAACATTAAAATAAAAATAAAATATGCCTCAAACCATTCTTTAAAATATGCATTTTCTGTGTCTCTTAATTTTGGTGTTCCTGGACAATGTGAAAGCAAGGACCACAGTTTTTCCCTTCCTTTTTAAAATTCTAAGATAGGCATTCTTGCTGCTCATCTACCCAGATTCTTTGTCAAGCCACCACCCCTGTAATCAATCAATTGGGCATTTTTCATAAGGAGTATATTGCAATATAAGGAGTATATTGCACGAAGAATCGGACACGACTAAACAAACGAACGAATGAATATTGCATAAAGTAAGTGTTTAACTAAAAGCCCAACAGCAAATTGTGAACAAGATAGGAAATCTACATCTACCCAGATTCTTTGTCAAGCCACCATCCCTGTAATCGATTGATCGAGCATTTTTCATAAGGAGCATACTGCATGAAGGAAGTGTTTAATAAAAAGCTCAATAGCAAAATTGTGACCAAGATAGGAAATCTACCCCAAGGTCTTCTGCACACCTAAATCCATGGATTTTCCTGGTGTTGCGGTTTCTTTATCCACATTATTATATATGTTTTCCACGAGCAGTGTGCGCTTGCAGGCTGCTCAGCTGGCCCCTTGGCTTTTTCTTGCTCATATCCAACAGAGTCCATCACATGTTGTCTGCATGCTACCCTGTATCTGGTGATTAAAACTAGAGGTCATAATATTTTGCTTTGGCCTCAGTAGCGTTGGGTTTTCTTCACACTGAGCCACCATAAGAAGACAGGAAGCAGGCAGCAAAAGTGTGTATGTGTGTGTGTGTATGTGTGTTGGGGGTGGTAATGTAAGGATGCATATGTGAGAGAAACCAAAAGCTCCACGCTCACCCTCTCCTCCTCACGGCTTTGTTCTCCTCTCTTCAGTGTGCCCATGCGCCGTCGGCTGGCCCAGCGCTTCCCAAGCCGCATCACCACCATTGCCTTCCAGGCCAATGCTTTGCTGGAGCAGATTAGCATCATTGGGGGCAACCAGACTGGCATCTTTATTCACCAAGTCACACCTGGCTCAGCTGCTGATGAAATGTCCTTGTCTCCAGGTCATCAGATAGTGCTGGTAAGATGTGCATACCTCCTCCTCCTCCTCCTCCTCCTGCTGGATCACATTCAAAGCACCTGTCATCTTTTCCAAACCCTGAGCCTTATTTTTTTTTCCCCTCATGGAGACAACATGGTTGTCTTTAGGCACGTTATCCATTCTAGCCACATCTCTATCCTTGTAGAATGAAGGAGCCTTAGAAGGGGTTAGAGACTCGATCCCAATTGTTATACCTCCTCCTCCTCCTCCTCCTCCTGCTGGATCACATTCAAAGCACCTGTCATCTTTTCCAAACCCTGAGCCTTATTTTTTTTTCCCCTCATGGAGACAACATGGTTGTCTTTAGGCACGTTATCCATTCTAGCCACATCTCTATCCTTGTAGAATGAAGGAGCCTTAGAAGGGGTTAGAGACTCGATCCCAATTGTTGGGATCATTGGTGTGCAGCCACTGAATTAGATTTGTTTTAGTTTAGGGATGGGCAAATCTGTTAATTTCAAATGTGCTCAGAGTTAAATTACTATCATCAATTTCTTACATTTATGCCTTCCTTTCCACTAAAAGGCAGTTCTCAAGGAATAAAACCAAATAAAACCTGGGATCATTGGTGTGCAGCCACTGAATTAGACTTGTTTTAGTTTAGGGATGGGCAAATCTGTCAATTTCAAATTTGCTCAGAGTTAAATTACTGTCATGAATTCCTTACATTTATGCCCTCCTTTCCACTAAAAGGCAGTTCTCAAGGAAGCTTGCAAACCTTTTAAAAGGAATAAAAACAAATAAAACCAAACACAGCTTTAAAAAAAACCTTCCTAATGTCATATAAAACAGCTGCATCAAAATGTCATTAAATTTAAGCAAATACAATACCTTAATATACATTAAAAACTATTAAAATATAGTTAGCACATTATTAGAAACTAAAATATTGTTCATATTTCACACTGAGCCACCAGTTAAGAAATGCTATGCTGGTAGACCTTTGTGATCGAACAATAATGTTTAAAAATAAATCCTGCCCTTACTTTCTGATGACCAGTCACAAAACAAACACAAGCTAATTTGGAAACGATGGGCGGTATCAATAAGCTATTGCTGTGATGATCAACCAAGTGTCTTCAGCATATAATAAATTCCCTACTCTAATCACGGGCTGCCTGCAAGACATAATTTGACTTTCAGTTCCTTAGCCATAAATTCATTTTGGTCCATTTCCACATTAGTGTACAAATGTGTCAAAAAGTCTGCCTAAACTTCAGACAAGACGGACACGCTCCTGGTCAATTGAAAGACAGATCAGGAAACAGGGGTGCAGCCAGTGCTGCCTGGGGTTACACTCTCCCTGGTAACACAGCTGCACAGCTGGAGGATGCTCCTGGATTCATCGCTGAGTTCTGGAAGCCCAGGTTTGAGTGGTGGCCAGGAGTGCCTTTCTACAATTAAAACTAGTGTGCCAACTGCACCCATTTCTGGAGAGGGCTGATCTGGCCAATATGACACATGCCTCAGTTACATCCTGACTAGATTACTATAATGCATTCTATCTGGGGCTCACACACAGAGAAGGTATTGGTTCCAACCTATAAAGCCCCGAATGGCTTGGGTCTCAAGGACCACATCCCCTTTTATGAGCCTGCTCAGGTGTTAAGATCATAAGGAGAGGCCTTTCTCTCAGTCCTGCCACCTTCACAGGTGCATCTGATGGGGACACAAGAGAGGGCCGTCTCTGTTGCTGCTCCCAGCCTCTGGAACTCCCTCCCACAGGAGGCCAGACTGGCCTCATCTTTGCTGTCCATTCCCAAGCAGGCAAAGACCTTTCTCTTCAGGCCAGCTTTCCTTCAGTGAATGGCTGCCTGAATGAGACTTTTAATGACTGCCTGAATGAGGCTTTTGGTCCATTCCACATTAGTGTACAAATAAAAAGTCTGCCTTAATTCCAGACAAGACAGACGTGCTCCTGGTCAGTCGAAACCAGTAGATCAGTACATACTGCTTTACTTTACTGCTTTGAATGTGCTTTGGTGTTGTTTATATTTTTTGGTATGGTATTTGTTTGATCCTTTTTAGTATGTGTATATTCATTGTTATCTTTAAATACTGTCTTTTAATGATGACAGCCACCTTGGGAAACAGGTGATGTCACCAGCTTCCACTAGTAAGATTTAATACACATGAATTAAAAGCTTGTATCTCCCCATGTTAGGCTCTGAGGCTCCCTAGGGGCTCCTTTTTGCCCTGGGGAAGCCTTTGAGAGTCTTGGGATGAGGTGTGTGTGGTGGTGGGGGGGGGGAAGGAAAGGCTTTATTTGCCAAAGATTGCTGGTTGATCACCACTGCCAAGTTCGGAACTACTGATGATGGTCCAGTGGTAATTCTTGCTGATTAAAGTCCATTCTAAGCATGACAAGCTGCTGGCTTTCCCTTCAGAATGATGTGTTTCCACGTCAGCCTACAGTCTCAAGGTTTGTAACTGTTAGCAATCAGAGACAAGCAGCAACTAAGTTCGCTTGTGGATTTCGAATATTGGAATGATCAACAGGGAACTGGCTGGATATCTCAGTGCGTTGAAGTACCTGGCTGTGGAGTCAGAGGCCGGGAGTTGGATTTCCCATTGTGCCTCCCTGCTTCCCAGCCCACCATCTCTTCCAAGATCATCTGTCTATCAGTTTCTTCCCCCGGTTGCTCAAGTTCACAAGTAACATTCTCTTTTTCCTTTTAAAAGGTTAAAACTATTCCTTTTTGAATTTGGTAGGTGGATCATGGCATCATGGAACCCGGCTCCAAAGCTGTCCTGGAGGATGCAACCATGGAGGAGGCTCTTTGGGTCCTGCAGAGGGTCAATGGCTTCTGCTGCCTATCTGTGAAACCTAACATGGAGGGTAAGGACATCTGACCATAGGCTGGGTGGGAAAAACATGACCATATTCTGAGGCTGTGGCTAC